AACCGAACGAGCGAAAATCAGGAATCGCTCCTGAAATTGCTCAACTGCTCGAGGAGCTAACAAAGCGAGTCGAAGCCAACGACAAAAAATTCGAGACATATGATGCTAGGATCGATCAAATCCCGGGGGCTCCGCCCATGATGAAAGGGCTGGATTCGAAGAAATTCATACAAAAGCCTTTTCCATCGAGCGCGGCCCCGAAACCGATCCCAAAAAAGTTCCGTATGCCCGTAATTCCCAAATATAACGGCACAACCAATCCTAACGAACATCTCACCTCCTACATGTGCCATCAAAGGCAACGATTTGGAAGACGATGAGATCGAGTCCGTATTATTGAAAAAGTTCGGAGAGACCCTCGCTAAAGGAGCAATGATCTGGTATCACAACTTGCCACTGAATTCTATCGATTCTTTTGCCATGTTAGCAGATTCGTTCGTAAAAGCACATACTGGTGCCGTGAAGGTCGCAACGAGGAAATCGGATCTATTCAAAGTAACACAAAGGGGTGACAAAATACTGAGGGAATTCGTATCCCGGTTTCAAATGGAATGCATGGATTTGCCACCAGTCACATACGACTGGGCCGTACAAGCTTTCACCCAAGGGTTGAACGAACTGAGTTCGACAGCATCACGTCGGCTGAAACANCGAAACAAAGCTTGATCGAATACCCTGCAATAACTTGGGAGGATATACACAATCGGTACCAATCGAAAATCAGGGTCGAAGATGATCAATTGAGGTTTTCATATGAACCCACACGTCAGAACCGCACAACCACTAAAATTCTGAAGGAAACCAACAAAGAACAAAGGTCAAACAAAGACCGATATCAACCGTACGTCACGGATCGGGTGAACCACAGTTCGGCGCATGAGACAGTTAGGAATAACCACAGATATGATCGGGGGCAAATTTCTCGGGGACTTATGAGAAAGAGAGGTTTTGACAAACATGCTGATCCTGTAGAAGTTCCTCGATTATCGGAATATAATTTCAACATCGACGCGTCCGCCATCGTATCGGCCATCGGATGCATCAAAGATACCCGATGGCCTCGACCCATGCAGACCGATCCGGCCCAAAGGAATCCCAATCAAATATGCGAATATCATGGCACCCATGGTCACAGAACGGAAGAATGCAGACAATTAAGAGAGGAAGTAGCCCGCTTGTTTAACAAAGGGCACCTCAGGGAATTTTTGAGTGATAGGGCGAAGAACCATTTTAAAAACAGGGACTTCGGCAAACGAAACGAAGAAGAAGAGCCACAGCACATCATTCACATGATCATCGGCGGCGTCGATACCCCTCAGGGACCTATACTCAAACGCGCTAAAATGTCGATTGTGAGGGAAAAGCGACCTCGAATTCAAGATTACACTCCCCCAGGGACTTTATCGTTCAATGATGAAGATGCAGAGGGAATCATCCAACCCCATAACTATGCACTGGTAATATCCGTACTCATGAATAAAATTAAGATTAAGCGTGTGTTAATTGATTTAGGTAGCTCGGCGAATATCATCAGATCGAAGGTCGTAAAACAGCTCGGCCTACAAAACCGGGTCATATCTGCAACTTTGGTTTTAAACGGATTCAATATGGCATGTGAAACCACCAAAGGCGAGATAACCCTACCGATAAACGTCGCCGGAACAATTCAGGAAACAAAGTTTCACGTGATCGAAGGCGATATGAGATATAACGCCCTTTTCGGAAGGCCGTGGATCCACAACATGAGAGTTGTACCTTCGACCCTACACCAGGTCCTCAAATTCCCAACACCAACAGGCGTCAAAGTAGTGTACGGAGAACAACCAGCCGCAAAAGAAATGTTCTCCATCAAAGAAGCAAAACCAACATCTTCGTCTTCGCCAGTGAGTGGATCGGGTTCAAAAGGAGGCACAGTCGAAGACCGGAACGCCAAATAGCAACCAAAGACATCGGCCCCGACCCAGCCAGATAAGCAGACCATCGATGAATATAGTGATCAGTGGATCCCTCGATCCTTCGTGACCCCCGATGACTCCGATGCCACCAAATCAACTATTGAGGAATTGGAGAAGATCATTTTGATCGATCACTGGCCCAAACGAAAGGTATACCTGGGAAGGGGTTTGAGACCCGAACTCAGGAAGAAAATTATTCAATTTCTTATCGATAATATTGATTGCTTTCCTTGGTCCCATTTAGATATAACAGGAATCCCGACGGACATAACGACACGTCGACTAAGTGTGTCCCCTAGATTCAGGCCGGTGAAGCAAAAAAGAAGACCCCAATCGGAGGTGAAGCATGCATTCATAAAAGATGAGGTAACTAAATTGCTCAAAATAGGATCCATTAGAGAGGTAAAATACCCCGAATGGTTGTCCAATGTGGTCGTAGTGCCTAAAAAGGGAAACAAACTTAGAATGTGTATAGATTATAAGGACTTGAACAAAGCATGCCCCAAAGATTCTTATCCACTGCCCAACATCGATCACTTGATCGATGCCACGGCCGGCCACGAGATCCTTACTTTTCTCGATGCCTATTCCGGGTATAATCAAATCCAGATGAACCCGGAAGACCAGGAAAAGACTTCGTTTGTGACCAGATATGGAACATATTGTTATAACGTAATGCCCTTCGGGCTAAAAAAAATGCAGGAGCTACTTATCAACGCCTAGTAAATAGAATGTTCGAATAACAAAGAGGTAAATCAATGGAAGTCTATATTGATGACATGCTAGTCAAGTCCCTGCGCGCAGAGGACCATTTGACCCATTTGCAGGAAACGTTCGATATTCTGAGGAAATACAACATGAGGCTCAACCCCAAAAAATATACTTTCGGAGTTGGCTCGGGTAAGTTCCTCGGCTTCATGGTGTCAAATCGGGGAATCGAGATTAACCCTGACAAAATCAAGGCCATTGAAGACAACACCATCGTGAACAGCGTGAAAGCTGTACAAAGATTAACAGGAAGAATAGCAGCCTTAGGCCGATTCATTTCGAGATCATCAGATCGAAGCCACAAATTTTTCTCTCTACTCAAAAAGAAGAACAACTTCACTTGGTCCTATCACCGTGGCCGTTCATGAAATAGGGAATGGACATCATCGGCCCCCTGCCATCAACCCCAGGTAAAGCCAGATTTATTTTGTTTGTGACTGACTATTTTTCTAAATGGGTTGAAGCGCAGGCGTTCGAGAAAGTAGGAGAAAAAGAGGTTATCAACTTTCTGTGGGATCATATCAAATGCCGATTCGGAATACCATCCGAAATAGTATGTGATAATGGGAAGCAATTCATTGGCAGCAAAATCACAAAATTTTTCGAAGATCACAAAATAAGAAGGATACTAGCAACCCCATACCACCCCAGTGGAAACGGACAAGCCGAATCCACAAACAAAACTATTCTTCAAAATCTGAAAAAGAGATTAAACGACGCTAAGGGAAAATGGAGAGAAATCCTGCCCAAAGTCCTTTGGGGGTACCGAACAACATCGAAATCCAGTACAGGAGCGACCCCATTCTCCTTAGTATATGGCTCCGAAGCATTGATACCAGTCGAAGTCGGAGAACCTAGCCCCAGGTTTCGATTAATGACGGAAGAATCAAATAACGAGGTTATGAACACCAGCCTTGAATTATTGGACAAAGGACGAGAATCTGCCCTCATCTGGTTGGCCGCACAAAAGCAACGAATCGAAAGGTATTATAATTGAAGAACCAAACTTCGCCACTTCAAGCCAGGAGACTTGGTGTTAAGAAAAGTCACTATCAATACTCGGAATCCAAATGAAGGAAAACTAGGACCAAATTGGGAAGGACCGTACCAGGTGCTCGAGCACTTTGGGAAAGGATCGTACAAGATCGGCATCATAAACGGCAAACAGCTATAAAGCAGTTGGAATGTATTACATCTAAAATGGTACTACTGCTAAGGTCCGACCTTATTCATCTGTCCCGTACAGAAGTTCGAACAAAGAACAGAAGTATTCTTTTGCTCAAAAGCACATGTTGCACTCTTTTTTCCTTAGACCGGTCTTTTCCCAAATGGGTTTTTTGCGGCAAGGTTTTTAACGAGGCAACCATCAATCGTGCTGCACTGACAAAATAGTATCCGAGACTTTCGACCCTTAGCCCGAATGACCTCGAATACCGGGGGGCACCAGGCCCTCAAATACATCGAGTTCAGATGCAACAAAATCTTCTCACAACAATAGAGAAAAAATTGTAAGAGCCAAAATGGTCAAAATAAACCATGCTCATATTTGACTGCCCCAAAACATATGTACAATGGCTTGAGATTTATTATGCAACCAGAATTAACAATAACTCGAATATTAAGCCTACGGGCTTCCATATTATCTCGAGTTCGAAATAAACACTCGAATATTAAGCCTACGGGCTTCCACATTACCTCGAGTTCGAAATATTCACTCGAACATTAAGCCTACGGGCTACTCCTATATCATGTTCGATATACTCGGCCGACCATTGAGCCTACGGGTTACTTCAGCATCGAGTTCGAAATAATCACTCGAATATTGAGCCTACGGGTTACTTCAACATCGAGTTCGAAATAATCACTTGAATATTAAGTCTACGGGCTACTACATAATCTCGAGTTCGAAATAATCACTCGAATATTAAGCCTACGGGCTTC